GTTAGACAAAGCAAATAAATCAACACAGACATTCTTTCAGCTTTCAGTCAGCTATCCAAGAATTGCTAAAAGACGATGAATCAAGCGTGTTTAGAGCAATTTGCGAGTGCTTGTTATGCAAAACTTGTAAAAAACGTAACTTGTAATTTGTAAAACTGAAAAACACGTTCTGCAATAAATAAATTTATGGAAGTCATCTTTAAGAATGTGCTCTTCGATCATAGAGGATTTCTATTTTGTACATAACTAGTTGATATACCCACTTCCTGAGCGTTAACACAACATCACAGTTCACCACTCTGTTTCAATTCTGCATAGATTCCTGTCTCTCTTCGACTACTACATATCAACTTTATACTCAAATTACCAAACCTGATTAGAGCTTGTTACTACTTGATAAGCCTTCTGCGGATCAAAATATCAAAATAAATTAATCAAATTTCAGCTTCAACAGACTTCTCTATCCATCCCATATTATTGAATGTATTTCTCCATCGATCAACAATCATCGAAACAAAGAATCCGAGCATGAATGTTAGTGGTATGTGCACCAGATTCTTATCGCAATAAGTTGCTATTCTCTCAAAAGTTCTAAAACATATCTGTTTTGCAGCGATTGCAGGTAAGGTGCAACACACCTTTGTGCTCCTGTCGGAAGAGCATATCGATAAACACCAAAAATTATGTAGTAAAAAATGATCCACATTACTAGCTCCAACATTATCGATTTCCAAATCGATCCTCGCCATCGCAGCAGAAGTCGAAAAAAGGTGAAGCCAGATGCAGATGAGACATCAGCATTGTAGGACACCGTCATAGTCACCAAATTTCAACGTCCTCGGATGAGGATTGCAAGAACAGTTCAATAATGAAGTGGTATGATTCAGGGGCACGGAGTTAATAGCAAAGTACATTTTCTGTTTTGGCATTGCATGGATCAATTCTATTTAATCAGGCTAGCAGTTAGTCTGCTCACTCTCCCAAATGTTTATTCGTCAGCTAAGTGATGTTGCCAGAAATGCCTGTTTTGAACTGATCACTCAAGGGCTTACCAAAAAAATTTTGCCATAGTATTTTCCACGTACTCTCATCTTGTAACCTGCATGTTGTATTGGATATATGTAAGCTGTTCCGACAACCACATTGTTAAGGTGGACCTTTATTGACCTTACGTTTCGACAAATATCGTC